AAGATACATTTTAAATATTAGTCTGATGTTAAGATACATTTTAAGTATTAGTCTGATATTAAGATACGTTTTAAATATTAGTCTGATATTAAGATACGTTTTAAATATTAGTCTGATATTAAGATACGTTTTAAGTATTAGTATGATGTTAAGATACGTTTTAAGTATTAGTATGATGTTAAAATACATTTTAAGTATTAGTCTGATATTAAGATACATTTTAAGTATTAGTCTGATATTAAGATACGTTTTAAGTATTAGTCTGATATTAAGATACGTTTTAAGTATTAGTCTGATATTAAGATACGTTTTAAGTATTAGTCTGATATTAAGATACGTTTTAAGTATTAGTCTGATATTAAGATACGTTTTAAGTATTAGTTTGATATTAAGATATGTTTTAAGTATTAGTCTGATATTAAGATATGTTTTAAGTATTAGTCTGATGTTAAGCTACATTTTAAGTATTAGTCTGATATTAAGATATGTTTTAAGTATTAGTCTGATGTTAAGCTACATTTTAAGTATTAGTCTGATGTTAAGCTACATTTTAAGTATTAGTCTGATGTTAAGCTACATTTTAAGTATTAGTCTGATGTTAAGCTACATTTTAAGTATTAGCTTTGTTTTAGGATAAGAACAGATAGGAGTTGGTGCACATGGTCCCCCTAGAGGGGGATCATATTCTGTAATTCCAGATATTCTACCTGGGATCTCCCGTGTCTTGGGTTAATCTTGGCAATGTCTGGATTTTCTTTTAACATAATACAAAACAGAGAACAAATTAAGAAGCCCTATTTTTATTGATTTAAATAGTTGAACATTACATTGTTCATGGAAACATTCTGGATTTCATCAGTATGTTTTAAATAAAGTTCCTAAGTGATGTGTTAAACACGCACTAAATCTAAATGTATTGTTATTTGCTCAGATTTCAGCTTAGCTATTTTCAAGAACACTTAAAGTTGAAACAATGAGCAGTTATTTTCTATTTATAGGTAGAACATAAGGAATACGTTTCTTTAAATTCTGAGGTCTAGTTTTTCTTTTTTAATACTTACAGTTTGTTTTTCATTAACTTAATCTGTTTTCAGCGTTTCTACAGGTACCATGAAGAGATCTCTCGGCAAGCCCAAGAAGAAAGCAAGATTACTTCCAGAAGACCTCCGTTCTGGAAAATATTCAAGAAAGTATGAACACTGTAGATCAGAACTAGACAATTAGAAATTGTTCATTCCAGTGACTTCATTTTATTTAGTAACTGTTTTTATAGCAGTGTTTATGTCAACTGTCTAGTTAGGAGCACTATAGAGAAAATATCACGTGGCAGTTTTTCTGCTTGGGAAAAGTATCCTGTGTTTTTACATTGCACAGCTGAGACTTTTAGCTTTAATATAGCAATCACATGTTGAATTTGAAGAATTTCTTTTTCACTGAAATTGAAATTATTTGAAGAATATAAAACTTCAGAGTTTTCTTATTCCTAAAAATGTCTTAAACTTTGTTAATAATGTTAAAAAACTCAGAAAAATGAGATTGATAACAAAATATATGTTTTTAAATTTCAGACTTGGAGGCAGTGTTTCAATGTGTTCTTTGTTTTTTTTGTTACCTTAACAAGCTTTCCTGCTGTACAAGGCAGTATCTTTGCTGTTGATTCAAATTTTTTTATTTCCTGTAAGTAGCTTTTTATTGTATTTTATATTACAGTAGTTAGAATGAATATCAGTAAAGTCTGTTTTTAAACAGAATTGTTAAAACACATCTTATAATTGGGCAGCAGCATTTAAAATGTGACACCATCAAAAATTGTTGTGTGGTTCAGAAAGTAAAGGGGAATTCTATATGACTTGTCAGATTATAGTTAGAGCAAAAAAACTTGAAATTTAAGTTTAAAAAAATTTAAATGTGCATTTAAAACGTGCAAAATAAGACTAGTTTATATAAGTTACTTGAAATAATAATTTATCATGTTGACACACACATACATGACAAACACTTAAGTTTATTAGATTTAAGCTGTTAGGAATTAAATTGTTCATTTTTTCTTTCACAGTGTTTTACTTGTGGTGGGCCGAGCACAGACAGCACATTGTGTAGCTTTGCGTTTAACAACAAACAAACAGTATTTTATAAGATACGATTTTGACTACTTAAGTTAGTGATAACTTAAACCATTAGGTGGTAAAACCTTCCAAGTCTCCTTATAAACCTTACCTCTAGTTAAAACTTAATGTCCAACAGAATATTTTTTAACTCAAGCTGTATTGCTTATGTTGCTGTAAGTACACTTTTGTAAATTCTGAATTACTCTTTGCTGTTTTGTAATAAATCATGTATAAAAATATAGAATATCCCTCAAGCACTGCAAGAAAACTCAACAACTCTTCATAAAGCTGATGTTTTCAGAGCTCTTTGTAAATCACTTTAAAATGTGGGAATAGCCAGCACAGATAGCCCTCAAACATTGCAAGAAAACTCAACAACAACTCTTCATAAAGCTGATGTTCTCATAGCTCTCCATAAATCACTTTAAAATGTAGGAATAGCCAGCACAGATAGCTCTCAAACATTGCAAGAAAACTCAACAACAACTCTTCATAAAGCTGATGTTCTCATAGCTCTTCATAATGTTTATCCTTCTTTTGAGAATTCCACTATGAAAATGGTCATAATAGTATGTGTTACATTCATTTAGAAAACATGCTTTGGTCATTTGTGTTCTATGGAGAACTAAAAAGTTTAACATATATAGTCTGCCTCTCTTGAATTCAAATTACGTTAATTTTGAGTTATAAGTTAGCTGTAGTGATGTTTCACTTTACAGTTATTAAAAATAATGTTATATGGAAATAAATTTAAATTTCTTTTCCATTTTTTTTTAATCACAGCCACATATTTTATTCCTGTTTGTTGCTTCCTGTTTTTCAACTTGTTTGCCATGATTGGAAACATCTTTCCAAACTGGGTGGTTTGGGTAAGTTTGACTTCTGCACTTGTGTAGCTGTTACTGAAATACTTTTGTTTTTATACTTGATGTGCATAGAAAAACTGTTTACTTTAAGCATCTCATTTATAAAGAAATAATATAGTTTATGTATGTGTTTGGTAGAGCTGGGCAATTAATCAGTTTCAATTACACTTATTAGTGTCACGGAAAATAATCAAATATTCAAAATAATGATTAACACCATGAAAATAATCAACTAGTCAAAATTAATGTTTTCATTTATTACTGCTTTTCATTATTCCAACTATCCAAGTAATCAATATATTATCATTATGATTTCTTTATTATTTTCATTTAACTCATGAATTAATCAACTCATTGAAATTAGGGTTTCCAGTTATATGCATGAATTACTTAAACATTAATGATTCTTTATAATTTAATTAAATTTAAAAACAATTGTGGCAGTTTGATTTTTAAAAAGAGCCTTACTAACAAGTACTAGTGGGTTTAGTCCTTCAGCTTAGTTGGTAGCCTGTTGTGTGTGAGAGTTCTCAGTTCAAACCTGATAAAAATAAAATTAGATTATAACGGCCACAAATAATTTTTGGGTTTTAAAGATAAAACATTTTTTTGGTAACTTTACTTTCTGATAACTATAATGGAACAAAGATGAATGCATTAAGTAAAGTTGGCTATCATTTAACTTCCTATAATGTTAAAAGCGACCTTGTGAACATAGTGTAATCATGAAACTATACATACTATAATTCTGAATATATGTAGTATATCTCCATGAAATTTGACAAGATTTTAGTAAACATTTAAAGTGTTGTATACATAAAATCAGATTTTTAATGTAATATTTATGCTAAAGATTTGTCTGTAAAGTTATGAAACCTTTATTGAGTCAGTCTGAGTGAAAGGTAATTTTCAAGCTAAGAATAAAAATGCTTCTTTTCGTCTTATAGTTTTTATATTTCTTTTGCATGATCTCTAGAACCTTCTAAACAAATATCACGTTTTTTGGGGCAAAACATTGAACTTTATTTCTTACTTTCTCTACCCTGATACCAAGTATAGTGAAACTGTCTGTATCAAAAGTTGAAAAATATAACATAAAATCAAAAATACCTTTTTTTTTATGATTAATACTTGAAACTACGAGTACTTGGTGGTTTAGTAATTCGTAAAATGTACATTAGTCTACAGACTTACAGCGCTAGAAACTGGGTTTCGATACCCGTAGTGGGCAAAGCACAGATAAAACATTGTGTAGCTTTGTGTTTAACTTCAAACAAATAAACAAAATCCTTTTCCTTTTTCCAAAGTAACTGTAGATTGTAACAGTCAATCCTTTTCCTTTTTCCAAAGTAACTGTAGATTGTAACAGTCAATCCTTTTCCCAAAGTAACTGTAGATTGTAACAGTCAATTACAGTTATTTATCTTCCTTTTTCCAAAGTAACTGTAGATTGTAACAGTCAATCCTTTTCCTTTTTCCAAAGTAACTGTAGATTGTAACAGTCAGTTACAATTATTTATCTGAGGCCTCGTAATTTTTCATAACTGCTTTCATATAAATTTATTGTTTTAGTGCTCTTTGAACCATGTCTATCCACTGCAGTAAGCAATAAATCACCCAGCAGGAGTGTGAAAGTTTAGAATAAAGTTTCAGATTAGAACACGTGACATCTATGTATGTTCTTCGTGTGTTACTCAGAGCAAAAAAATTTTTTATTTGTTTAAGTTTTCTTTTTTCTCTTACATTTTACTTACTTTTATTTCAAAATATGTAGAAATGAATAACAGTTTCTTTCAAAAAACAAAAAATCTAGAACTTACCTTAGCTCTAAGCCAGTTTGTACTCGACTTCCTGCTTTCATTCCTGTACTTTTTTCGCACTATATTTCTTGTCCAAAACATAATTTATTTGAGTTTCTATCTAATATATAAATAGGTTAAAGATATTATGCGACATCTTGTATCAAATCTTTGGTCCAACTCAAACAAAACAGACAATCTTATGATTTACACAGTGTGCAGTCTGCTCTTTCTGTTGGTTATAAACATAACCAATAGTAATGTCAGTAAGAAGCTTGGAGGCTACAAATGTACAACATGGGTTAGAAATATATATATTATAATGGTGTAAGCTGTGACGAACTCGGATCATACAGAGGTAGAAATATGGCTTAGGAATATATATATTATAATGGTGTAAGCTGCGATAAACTCAGATCATACAGAGATAGAAATAAGGCTTAGGAATATATATATTATAATGGTGTAAGCTGTGATGAACTCAGATCGTACAGAGATAAAAATAAGGCTTAGGAATATATATTATAATGGTGTAAGCTGTGATGAACTCAGATCATACAGAGGTAGAAATATGACTTAGGAACATATGTACTATAAGTGTGTAAGTTGTGACGAACTCAGATTATATAGGGGAAGAAAGAAAACCTAAAATGGGTAATTCAGAGCAAAGAACCATCACATAATACAGAAAAGTGAAGATTGAGAAACTAAAATTAAGACTTATACTAAAATATTCACTATAAACTAAGTTTTTATGCTTATTTTACTGACGTATGTTAATAATTAAGTTTTAACTGTAACTCCATGAAAAAATGTGACAAGCACATTTTGTCCTATTCAAACCCAGAAAGTTAATACTTGACGTTTGATTGTGTTTTTTTATAGCCTGGTCCACGGTTCTTGTGGATTCCTGTGGTCTCAAGAATTCTTTTCATTCCATTCTTTATGATGTGTAACTACAAGCCCCAAAAACGAGCTTTTCCAGTTCTTATCTCCAGTGACTGGGCTTACATTATCGTATCGATGTTCCATGGACTGAGCAGTGGTTATTACAGTAGCTTAGCTATGATGTATGTTCCTAGGTAAGAAACCACTTATCTCAACATATCTTTCAGATTAAGCCATGAGAGCATAACCTATTCTCTGTTATGCCACAATTGCTTACCCTCTCACTATATAAAGAAGAAAGTTGTAACACACAAAGGAAGTAAGTGTTAGTCTGCTATTGTAACACACAAAGGAAGTAAGTGTTAGTCTACTATTGTAACACACAAAGGAAGTAAGTGTTAGTCTACTATTGTACCACACAAAGGCAGTAAGTGTTAGTCTACTATTGTAACACACAAAGGCAGTAAGTGTTAGTCTACTATTGTAACACACAAAGGCAGTAAGTGTTAGTCTACTATTGTAACACACAGAGGAAGTAAG